GAGCTCCCCTTAAAGGGATCCTTTAAGGGATGGTTTATAGGGTTTAGGGGTTTAGAGGTGTAGGGGTTTAGGGTTTGGGGTTTAGGGTTTCGGGTTTGGGGTTTTATTGGTTGGGGTCTAGGGGCGTCGAGCTTACCTGTAGCCCCAAACCCTACAACACAGAAATGAGTCAGTGATGCTGTAGCTACGGGGTGCAGCCCCTTCGAATCGTAGAGTCTCGGATCCCTAGGCATGGCTTGGGATTTCCTAAACCCTAAAGCCTAAACCCTAAAAACTGAACCCTTAACCCTAAACCCTAAACCCCTAAACCCTAAACCATCCCTTAAAGGATCCCTTTAAGGGGAGCTCCAAAAAAGTGCCCTCCTCTGAAGATCCTGAAAAGAACGACCTGCTCTGTGCACCTCTTCATGTCGCCCAGGCGCTCGCTGCTTCCGAGCATAGCCTCGGCGAGCTAGCAGGTTTAGGGTTTAGGGTTTATAAGTTTTTAGGGTTTAGGGTTTAGGGTTTATAAGTTTTTAGGGTTTAGGGTTTAGGATTTATAAGGTTTTTAGGGTTTAGGGTTTAGGGTTTATAAGTTTTTAGGGTTTAGGGTTTAAACCTCAATGAGCGAATAACTACAGGGGGTTGGGAGTTTCGGGTGGCGCATAAAACAGGGGTCAAAATAATTAACAATACTATTTTGGGGATTCCTTATCATAACTATAGTGTAAAACACCCCTCCAAGCAGACCTGAACTCCATAAAGGAGCTCTCTCGCGTCCCATGCACTCGGAAAGCCTTTTTAGAACAGCTTCCGCTTTCCGCTGATATGGTCGATGCTCCCTCGGATGCCCTCAATGGCCACTTCCAGTCGCTCTCGGACGCTTGAAGCAGAAAGCACTGCCGGCCGAATTTCGTAGGCCACGCCTCGCGGGTGCGCAGAGGATCGAATAGGGAACACAAATGTTCCCAAAGACTCCAGTACATATCCTTCACGAAAGGTTCATTTATGAAGGCATCTAATCCTACAAGTCTAAGGATCTTCTTCAACTGAGAGATAATTAGTATTCAAATCTCTGGATGCTGCTTTGCTTGCGCTTCCCTCGCCTAGGGCTGGAATTGGGTTGACCAGCGCAGCCACCCAGATTGCCAGCTCCCCTGGTGCTTTTGCTTCTGGCATGTCGCCGAGGTCCTGTCAAAAAGCAGGTGCAGTGTAGGGCTTAGGGTTCACGGTTTAGGCTGCATGATCGTCGAAAGACTATACATGTACATACACCACGACACAGGACTATATATCCAGTAAGGCATATGTATGTATGTATGTATGTATGTATGTATGTATGTATGTATGGATGTATGTATGTATGTATGTATGTGCACATACATATGCATATGTCTAAGTCTATATCTCTCTGTGGCTGTGTGCATTTACCTCTGCGCATCGGCTTCTCGTGCCTGCCCTCGTGCGCCCTGACTGAATGGATCGTGGGACGTCGTAAGTCGAGGTATAAATAAGGTACCTATATGTATAACTACTGGTGACCCAAATGGTACTTATAACCTTACTTACTACTTCCCCTAAGGCCCTTATAGAACACATCTAGTACCCGTTACCCGTAAAGAAGACCCTATAGAAACCATACAGCACCTTTTTTAGTGCCTTACTGACCGAGTCCCCGAAGTCACCAAGTAGACCCTATAAGCCCTAAAGCCCTTTTTAGAAAGAACCCTTCAACATCCCCTTAAAGGAATGAGTCCTTAAAGGAACCCTTTCAAACGCCTGTAACCACAGTCCTTCAGGATGTCAGCCAACTGGCCGTCGTACCGCTCTTTCTCAGCCAGTGGCGAGCATTAGAAGGTATGGGGCTTCAGGCATAGGGCTTAGGGTTAGGGCCTAAACAATTACCAATACTATGATTATGCTGATAGCGATTAAACCCTAAGCCTAAACCCTATGCCCAAGAAGAGATGCGAGTTTCACAGCTCGGCAGGGGGTGTACCCGACTCGCAGCTATCACACGCTTTCTGAGCTAATTCGTCTAATAATTACCAATACTACTTTGGGGGGGTCCTTATTTATTATTACAATAGTATTACAATTATAGTATAATGGCCCCCTAAAGCCCGATCTAATTATTAAGGCCCCTATAACTAAGGCCCCTATGTTATGTCTGTGTGCTTGAAGGATCTTGAAGGTAAGATTGGTTGACACATGCTGGGACGCTGGCGCCCATCTCCATGAGGGTTGCGGTCCATTCATCCACGAGCGGAACCAGCGTCTCAGCAAGCTTCACATCCTCCTGCGAAGCCCCTCAATATCGCAACCTTTACAACAACGCACATATACATATACATATGCATATACATATACATATACATCTACATATACATCTACATATGCATATACATATATATATATTACATATATATATATATACATATACACATCGGGTATCCCTGTAATAGCAAGCGCTATATAGGAGTCTGTCTCAGGCAGGGTTCTGGGATCGGAATGAAACCGCACTCGCCACTGGGGGGTCGAAAGCCCATCTTGGCCACCCGATCACACCCGGGCTGCCAGAAAGCAACAACATCCTAAATGGTAATTTCTAAACCTTAAAGCCTAAATCCCGAAAGCCCCGAACCTAAAACTTAAAGCCTAAATCAAGAAAGCCCCGAACCTAAAACTTAAAGCCTAAATTCCGAAAGCCCCAAACGATCTACACTAAACTGAAAACCTGAAACCCTTTTGCAACACTCTTGAAGAATCCGCTCGAGCAAACCTTATGGTAACCCCCATAGTGCCCCTCATAGTAACCTGTGTTCTTGTCTAGGAGCTTCATTTTAAGTTAACACATAACAAGGAAACCAAATTATGCTCTAGACCCCTTGCCAACTTACTGATCCCCCATAGTCTGTGGTCCCCATAAAGTAAGATGGGCCGAAGGTGCCGATTAGCACTCTATCCTGTACACCACAGAGTTACCTACAGTAGAAGCCCATAAGTTGGAAACCCAATAGCCTGAATCCTTAAGAGTAGTGTATAGGGAATCCCAGCACTATTTGTCCTTAATCCGGTTTCCAACTTTTTGGGGTTAACTATACAAGATACATAGAGCTACAGATGACAGGACTCAGAGCCGCCTCCGAGGTCTCGTCGTTTACCCACCCCACTCCACCTGAGGAGCCGCACCCAAACCCCCCCCCCCCCCCAGTGAATTTAAAGCGTGAGGATTCGGGGTTTAAGGTTTAGGGTTCAGGGTTTAGGGCTTAGGGGTGCAGGGTTTAGGCTTTAAAGAGCCTCCAAAGGCTATATTATATCAGGGCTCGTTTAAGGAATCTATAGGGGCTCAGGGCTTAGAGTTCGGGGTTTCGCTCGCTTGGTGCTTTGTCGGGCCGAAAAAGGCCTAAGGCTTAGTGCCAGGTCCTGGGGATTTGGTCATGAGTTAAGGCTTTATATATTAGGGGTTTAGGGCTTAGGCTTTAGGGGTTTAAGGTTTAGGGGTTTAGGGGTTTAAGGTTTAGGGGTTTAGGGGTTAAGGGTTAAGGGTGTAGCGATTTAGAACTTAGGGCTTAGGCTGAGGTCTGGACTTAAAACGAATCCTGACCCAACATCATACCAGCGATGCAGCGATATAGTGACAAACCCATCACCCTTTGAAAGCAATCTCCCACGGCCCTCAGTCACCCGAAACTAAACTATAGACCCTAAACCCTAAACCCAAACTATACGCCATAAGCCCTAAACCAAATCCTAAACCCTAAGCAACACCCCAAGACACTGAACCCCTCGAGCCCAAACCCTGAACCGCTGATGCTAACAGCTCTGAAGCCTTCAATCCAAAATCACGTAAAACCGGATCCTAGGGTTTATGGTTTAGTGTTTAGGGTTCAGGGCCTTAAACCGAAAAAAGCCCAACTCCCTGCTTACAAAGCCACTGTCAAGCCGTTCTGAAACTCCTACGGACAAAGACAAGCCTATCGAAAAATATGAACCTTCATCGAGCCCTTGTATATAAAGACGGCTTCCCCTAAACCCTAAGCGCCACGACTCCTCTTCCCTTCCCCAAAGGGTCCTAAGCACTGTTATATGGGGGATACTTTCCCAAATAAATAAGGATCCCTAACATAGAAACCCTGCAGGCCCTACATTCCACTCGAAAGGTACTTTGGACCCAAACCCCTAAACCCTAAAGCCTATAAGCCCTGAACCCTAAACTCAAACCCTAAACCCTTCTTCGCACCTTGGCCCGGGTGATATCCCCGTCGTGCTCCGCGGGGCCCAGCACTTTGAAGTGGCGGAGCGCCTTGAGCTCCTCGCATGTCTTGGGCTCCGAACGCTACCCCAAAGGGTCCAAAGTAGCCATATGGGGGTTTCCGAAAGTAGGGGACCCTAAGATAGTACCCTAAATAGTAGGATCCTTAGTATCAGGACTCCAATATGAAGCACCCCTTCTTTTCGAAAAAACCCATCTAGTAGTGTGTAGGGTTTCTCTGCTAGGAAGTCTTATTCTTATTTGGGAACGTATCCCCAATAACAGTACGTGTTGAGGGGCTTCGGGATTGAAGCTATGGGCTTAGTGTGACATTTAGGGGTTTAGTGTTGTGGTTTCAGGTCCTGGCAGTGTGCACCACGTAATCTGTAGGCTGCATTGCCAACTTTATCCTGGCGCATCCAACCACAGGGCAGGGAAAGAATCCAATGCTACTAACTCCCCGCCCGCTGACCACGCATCTTTGTTCCGAATCTCACGTCTGTTAGTAACCCCTACACCCTAAACCCTAAAATCCCAAATCTTAAACCCTAAACCCGAAGGCCCCCAATCGTAAGCCCTGAACAACCCTACCTCTAAATCCTCGGGTCCTAAACCTTTACCAACGAGCACTTGGAGGATCAGAACCTAGCAAGTAACTGAGAACCGCTATTAGCAGCTTGATTGGGGTTATAAGAGCTACTCAAAGCAAAGTTACTTTAGACAAACAAACCGAGTAAGTCCCCTAACCCATATAGATCCCTTACAGAACCCTCTAGGAACCCTACCCACCCCCCTGGAATAGATCCCTTATAGAAACCCTTTACAGAATCCTAGTTACTACGTCCCGTGAGCACAACAAATCATAAACCCTAAACCCTAAACCCCTAAAGCCCTAAACCTTATAGGCCCTTAATTAACCCTACCTTAGCCTACCAAAACCTACCCTTTTTGGTAGCGTCCCAAATAAATTCCATATTTACTTTTTAAAGGTTTGGTAGGTCAAGGTACGGGCCCTTAGCCCTAAACCCTCAAGCGACAAGTCGTCTGCAACCCTGAACCCTAAGCCCTAAACCCTAAAGCAACAAGTCAACACCCGGAGCTCCCATTGGTTGAAGTTGACTTGCTTCCTCGGCTGCCACGCGTTTTCGGGTTTAAGGGTTTAGGGTTTCAGGCTTCAGGGATTATGGGAGTTTAGGGTTTAGGGTATTGCTTAACACCAGCTACTGAAAGGCGTAATAGTTCCTTTTTCGGTAGTTCGCTTAGCTAGGGTCCCTTTAGAATCCTGTCAAGCATTCAGAAAACTCGTATAACACCCCCCCACACTAAACCCTGAACTCTAAACCCTAAACGCTAAACCCTAAACCCTGAACTCTAAACCCCTGAACCCCCGAAAGACGAAGCCTCGAAACCCTGAGCTCTAAACCTCGAAGCACCAAACACCCGGCAACCCCAAAGCGCCAGCCCAAACCCCGAAACCACTGAACCGCGAACCACTAAAATCCTAGAGCCCTAAACCCTAAACCCCTAAACCTCTAAACTCCTAACCCCTAAACCCCTACACTCCACAACCCCTAAACCCTAGAGCTTCAAGTTCAAGGTCATCCCAAAAAGGAGCTTAGGGGCCTATGGGTAAAAAACCCTAAACCCTAAACCCTAAACCCTAAAACCCTAAACCCTAAACCCTAAACCCAAAGGCGCCCCCAAAGGCGCCCCAAGGTTCAGTGTGGCCGAGACCCCATAGCGGGCCGGCGAGGTCCCAAAGCGGGACCGGACCATTCCTGTACCGGTTTGCCAAGCTTCGGCTGTAGGGGTTTTAGGGGTTTTATAGGGGTT